ACCTCAGCCTCCCAAAGGCGCAGGATTACAGGCTGAGCCACCGAGCCCGGCTGAAACATGCTTCTTTAGGATAATACCAAGTTTCTGGTCAATCTTGCCCATCAGAGTTTAGTGGCTACTGTGAAAATTTTTTGCAAGAGTTTTTGTTTTCAGAATATATATTTTCAAGAGTGATACATAATAGATGTACTTATTTTCAGGGAATATGTAATATTCTAATATTTCATGTAATATGTAATGATCACATCAGGGCAACTGGTTGCCCTAAAACATTTATCTTTTCTTTATGCTATAAACATTCAAATCCTTCTTTTTTATTTTGAAATATACAATAGATTATTGTTAACTATAGTCATCCTACTAACTATAGCACAGTAGGTCTTATTTCTTCTATTTTTGTACTTGTTAATCAACCTCTTTTCATCTCCCCTTCCCATTGCAAGACTTTTTTTTTTAAACCCTGAGACTTTAAGTTGAATGCAAGAGTTTTTAAGGGAAGGCAGGTCTGTGTGCCACTCAGCTAAAGGTTTGGAAACTCACCACAACAGGCCCATCCTCTTGGGCCAGATAAGTAATCGTTGCTGAGGTGAAGTTGAAATAACCAGCTTTGAGAGGGCGCAGAACCACGGTGTGGGAGACGTTGCTAGCACTGGCCCAGGAGTTAAGGAAAGAAAAAGATGAAGTTGAGACTGTAACAACCTCTCAACTTCTGGACTAAATGAACCAATCACAAAACAGTTACCAACATGTGGCAATCTTATACCTGCAGGAATGAAAAGATACAGATTTTTTTTTTTTTTGAGTTGGAGTCTCACTGTGTTGTCCAGGCTAGAGTGCAGTGGCACACTCACAGCCACAGCAGCCTCAACCTGCTGTGCTCAGGTGATTCTTTTGCCTCAGCTTTCCAAGTAGCTGGAACTATAGGCATGCACCACCACGCCCAGCTAATTTCTTTTTTTTTTTTTTGAGCTGTAGTCTCACTCTGTCTTCCAGACTGGAGTGCAGTGGCATGCTCACGGCCACCGTAGCCTTCATCTGTTGGGTTCAGGGAATCCTTTTGCCTTAGCCTTCTAAGAAGCTGGAACTACATATGCTTGCCACCATGCCTGGCTATAATTTTTTGATTTATTGTAGAGATAAAGTCTTGCCAAGGTGTCCAGACTGGTCTCTAACCCATGGGCTCAGGCAATCCTCTGACCTCGGCCTCCCAAAGTGCTGGGATTATAGGCATGAGCCATCGTGCCTAGTCAAGATACAGATTTTAAAAAGTCTAAAGTTTGTGGCATTATAGGATCTCTTTCTACTTAAAAAAATTTTTTTCTTTTTTTAGTTGGGAGTCTCACTCTGTCACCCAGACTGGAGTGCAGTGGCCACTCCTGGCCACCGCA